GTTCTAAAGAGTTTTCGTATAGGTACTTAAGATTTCAAAAAAATACGGTCTTAGACTTGTATAAAAGAATTAATTTCGCATCTAGTTAAATCTCCATTACACGTTTAAAATATGAACTTTAGTTATGACAGTCTGCTATACGGTACTGCTACGCCGTAGCACATCTCGTAGTAATGACGAATTTGGAATACGGAAATGCGTTTGTACATACGTTGGTTTGTGCTAAACATCGCATACCAATAGCCTTCGTAGAATATTTTTATCCAAGTATAATAATTAACAGTTGCCTAGTATTCGCAACTACATCTAAATATTAAGTATTAGGGGTTCGTTTATCTTGAGCAATCAAAATGTTACTAGAATTGAAGATAAGTAGAAGTTATAGTACTTACTTGCTGTGTATAAGTTGTAGTCCTATACGATATCGTTTCACAAAAGCCTTACATAAAGTATAAAATATTTACATGACAAGTAATAGACTTGTCATGTAAATTAAATAATTGTTAGTTACTAAATAATTCTTTTAGCTAAGTATCAGTTAAGAACTGCGTGAAAGTTGATAAAGTAAGCTATAAAAGCACGAAAAAGTCCATTTAATAATTATAATAACTTTAAACGCTTACATATTTTTCGTTGGAGATATTATATATCTACGTCATAGTTATTTTTCCAGCAAAGCCAGTGCTATGTGCAGAGGTAGTTAGGTAGGTATCGGTGGCACAGACCGTGGGCGGCGAGCACAGGCGGTGCTGCAGGGGAAGCGAACGTTAACCCTTTCTGCAGTTCATTCGCCGTCTGGCCTCACCCTTACAAACCTCCCAACCTCCCTAGCCGCCGACCCGACTGCACGCTTGCCATACTGCAAGCCAACACTTTTTACCTACTACCTATCGCTAAATATACGAATTTAAACTACGCCTTGGCATAACAGCACTAGAGCAGGGCAACACATACATGCCTAGCTATCCTACAAATTTTTAAAACTGGATGGATGTTGGTTACTTTTCCACGTAAAAACTACTAAACGGATGTGAATGGCTAAATTGATCAAAACCTGGAATAACGCATCAACTGTTACTTCTTAGCCAGTTATCAAAGCAAATCCCCTGGCAGAAGCTGGTTGCTGTATAGTTGCTATGTAAGTATGTTTCGTTATGACGAAAATTGATTCATTTTTATTTAATTAGAAATAATTACGTAATAAGTGATGACAAAAGTAAGCAAAGTGTAGACCTATACAAATGATATATGTAGGTATAGGTGCATATTAAGTACGTTGTAACACCAATGGCGGTGAGAGGAGGAGCAGTTTTTTTCATTCCACAATGTAAATAAATTTTTTTTGTCGCATAAACTGAGATTATTTGCAATTTGGACGAATGGGTGGCGGAGCAACCGGCTGCCGTGCAACTTGTCGCGGGTTAGGTTCCCTATGGAGCATTTCTTTGTGCAAACCGCAAATTGTTGGTTGCTCAGGATTGGGTGTGATGTGTATGCAATTATATGTTTGTAAACGCACGAGAAAAGAGAAAAAACTAAAGTGTATTTTCAAAGAAAGGTAACGAAAGAAGCTAGCTATTTTTTTAACATGTATGATATTCGGTTTCCTCTTACGTTACTGTCAACCCCATATGAGTAGGTTCAAAGTGATTTAAACTATTAGTCAATTCCATATTATACTCGTACTTATATGTCAAATGAAAACTACAGGCAACTTGTTTCTGTAGAATATTGTTGCATAATTTCATAGTTATTATCGGATGTAATTATAAGGATATTTAAGAAGATTTTTCTATCAACTTATGACACTGATTTACCAGACTTACTTCTCCGTTCCGTAATTCGAGGTCTTGTTCAAATTAATATTCTATTGCCAACTTTAAAGAATGGTCATGTGGTGGAGGTGTTACATATATTTAACATACGAAATTCCGTTTCTCGCCACGAAATGAGTTTTGTATCTACCTTTTACAACCATTGGTTTTGGTGTGAACGGTGTAGTGTGAATTGTAATTAGGATATACCTAAAAAAACTTCGAAGGAACTTTAGTTATGGTTATGTGAAAAATCGTTGTCAACTGTCGATTTTGTAGACGATCAAGTGCATTAGAATGACAATTTCATTTTCGGAATAACATTTTTTGTGTATATTGAGACTTACCGTACCGTACCTAATTCAGACAATATGGTACAATTGGCGTATTTGATTCTCTTACGAAACAACTCTTTGATCCACTAATTATTATTTCTGGTGTAGCCTCTGGGTGTGATGTGTGTTTTTTTGTGATGGGACGGCAAACAAGCAGGCGGGTTACCTGATGGTAAGCAATCAGCCCCGGCCATGGACGCCTGCACAACATAGAAGTTACGACCGTTTGGGATTATGGAGATTTAGAGTTTGGGCAGGGACTAGGTGAGCGGAACAATTGGGTCCGGTAGTCTCACTCACACGGCGAAATACAACGCTGTGGGTGGTTCACCCCGGTTTTATGTGAGTCCGTGGTATCAAATATAGCATCAAATTATAACAATTTCAAATTATAAAAAAATGGTAATTGTAAGTGTGGGGCAACGTTTTAATTCGTTTAGTTGCTCTGAAAATTTGCTCAATTTTAATGTTATTCGTTCAGCAATAGTTACTCTTTTTAGCAAAAAACATTCAAGCAAGACGTCTTCATGTGAGTATGTTAGTCTCAAGCTTTTGACATCTCTGTATAAGTATAAAATTAACCTCGGAAACTATCGTAGGTATTGCTTAAATTTAACTATAAATTTATACATGTTTTTATAGATAAAAAATAAATATCATTGGCCGCGTAAGGCGAGAACAAATAAATAAGAAATACCGACTTAAGTAGTCACATACATACCGATGAAATAAAAATTATAGACTCTTAGCATTTTCCGTTAGACGAGGTAGGTTTTTAAAAGGTAATTGCGACTGCTACAGCCAAAATTAGGTACAGTTCATTTAACTAAATTAGATAACTACGAATTAGAACCATAAGTACCTAAAGTATGCAGGTGGTAAAACCCAAATGCGTCGAAAAGAATCTATCTAAAAATATACCAGAAATTCATTCATTTAATACCTACCGGGGGTTTAGAAAATTACGTACAGTAAATCTATTCGTGTTCTGCCGTACTCGTACAAAATTAGAAAGCTTTGAAGTCAATAACAGCGCCTCTGGCGGGAAATCTCGTAAACTATCATTTGAATTAGTTTTTATACAATAAAATATAGTTTTTATGCAATTGGAAGTCTCATATACATTATGTATGTTCAAAACTTAACGAATTTGTTTACGTTCTAAGACAGCTTAACAAAACTGCTACACAATCCACAGCAATTGCTGCTTACCATGGTTATATAGGATCAGTTTTACGATATGGTTTATTACTATGGGGCAACTCAACCATAATAAACGAACGAACTGTTTTCCTGGCACAGAAACGCTGTTTAAGAGCAATGTGTAATGCCGGTCCCTTTGATTCTAGCAAACCCCTATTTCAGACAACTAAAATACTCACCATTTTTTCCTTATACATCATTGAAGTTGGTCTCTTCGTAAGAAATCATCCACAATTATTCGAAAGTCTCAGAAAACAGTGCATTCAGCAAAAGAGATCCCAGTAAGATTGTTGTACCAAAATGCAGAACCACTCTGTATCACACAAATTGTATGTTTATGTGTATAAAAATCTATAATAAAATATCCCAAATTATCAGAGAACTTAAATTAAGATTGTTTAAAGTAAAAATAAAGGAATGGCTGGCACAAAAGTGTTATTATGCAATTAATGTTTTTTTAGAAAATAAGTAATGTGAATGAATTTTAGATGTCATAAATAATATCAAAACTTCTAATATTTAATAATAACTTTTATATATTTTTTGTTGTTTACTTGTAATTTTGTTTAAATTAATAATGTACCAGCCCAAATGGGCCTTGATTATTGTATGCCCAAAAGGGTTGATTGTTGTACTGTATACCACTATAAATATGTATAACACCTGTAACCAACACAATCAACACAATAAAGATTACTTTACTTTACTTTACAAGTAAAGAGACATAGAATAAGTAGTTTGGAAAATCTGTAATTCTTGGAATGAGATGGAAATTTTTACAATGATCCTTCTTATTACCTTTTACTGTCATGAAGTACATCTTTACAAACATAAAATTCAATGTCTGAATGGATTTAATGGTTAGAACGAAAATGTGAACGATATCTCCGTCATAAGTTTAGTATCATGCACCTACTAAAAAATAAAAACTATCGTACCTATATGGTCACTTACATAATTATAAAGTTTTTTGCAAAACAATAAAAAATGCAATCAATTTCCATAGATTTCGTCACCTTAATTTTGCAAATTATAGCTAGCATCTATATAACTTCCTACCTACTTTAATTCGTTTCGAATTTGGCGCCAACAAGACTGTGGAGCTATGTTTATATTCTATCTGTCAAATGTTTACCATTGACCATAGTCTATGGTCAAGTAAACGATTGTCGAATATGCAAGGGCCTCTAGCGGTAACGGTACTAACTAATAACAAAATGTTCATGAAGCCCCCTAAAGATACAGGTGTGTCGTGTTGCGTGCTGTCAAGTGTCAACAGCAAGCAATCGGGTTCTGTCGCGACACAACAGGCCACACAATTTGTCACTCTAATCTCAAATATGAAGCTTTAAGTACAAATTAATGTTTCCTTGTCTAAAATAAACTATATAAATATTGCAGGCTCATGAGGGTGTACAAATAAAATTGTAACAGCAAACATTATGTATTGTATAATCATAGTGTCTTGTATAGCTAACGAAAAAAATAATTTCGCATTCCAGCTTCAACTTTATATCAATTATATTTTATTATAAAGAAACTAAAATACTATAATCTGCAAAAAATACTACTAATTTAAATTTTAATCGACTAAAATATTCTCGATTCGTCTACCATAACTCTGGTCAACTATATTTTAATCTGTGGGCTGCACTAGTTGCAACGCAGCACGAAACGAAGCAGGTTAAAAAAGTGTCTGTCAAACGAACCTGTCTAGAGCAAATTTGTGTGATTTTTGTAGTGTTGCTGTATGTTTGTAGTAAAAATTATATAAATTATGCCGAAGAATAAAGGAAAAGGAGGTAAAAACAGGAGGAGAGGAAAGAATGAAAATGAAACAGAAAAACGTGAGCTGGTCTTCAAGGAAGACGGACAGGAGTACGCCCAAGTCACAAAGATGCTCGGTAATGGCCGCCTGGAGGCCATGTGCTTTGATGGCATAAAACGTCTTTGTCATATCCGAGGGAAATTACGAAAAAAAGTTTGGATAAACCAAGGTGACATTATACTAATAGGTTTGCGAGATTACCAAGATGCGAAGGCTGATGTTATCTTGAAGTATACTCCAGATGAAGCTAGGAATCTGAAGACGTATGGAGAATTCCCAGAGACAGTTCGAATCAATGAGACAGTGGTCTATTCTGTGGATGGTCTGGATGAGGACATTGAATTTGGAGATGAGGTCAGTTCAGAAGATGAAGCTGATGCGGTAGATGCTATATAAAAATTAGCACTAATTATGTCTATAGTAAGTCTATGTAAATTTGTTTTGCTGTTATGAATAAACATGACTTTGTGATTTTATACATTTAGTTCTCAAAATTATTTCACATACATACCTACATTGTGAATAAATGTCTAAATCTTTTAGACACTCAGTATTTATCCATACCATGTAAGGTTTTGTAAAACAATTGCATTATAATAACAAAATTGATAAATCCTCATTTCAATAATTCTGTTAATTGTCACTAAAATGAAATAATAGTTAAATTATTGTGCAACATTCCTTGAATTGATCCCATTTGTAGAGCAGATGAGAAATTAAAATAAGGAATGTACATACCTTCTTATTAAATAATTATATCAACAACACTTCATATCTATTATTTTGTACTTTCCCTTGTTAAATATATCATGTTTGGCCTGTCTTCTTTCAGAATAATAGTAAAACAGATTCAGATCACTGATAAATATAAGTATTTTTATTGTTTCAAATATTGGCACAGCAAGCAACTTTTGTGCCAGAAGATGAGCCATACCATTGTATATTATAATCATTTAAAACATGACTCTATGCACTATGCAATTTGGTCTCAATATGTTTAACACTAGAATGATGAAACATTCTAATATTCTTATGGTTCATAATAGACTTGTGTTATGAATCTCTATTCTTCAAATTGTTGTGTTACTATTTTCAAATCCTTTTCAACTTCAGATCAAAATAACATTAAGATAGTATTATATTCTGTTACCTTTATATATATTATATAATTTTACCTTGAGTTCATGTGAAAAACCTAGATTTATTAAATAATTTAACATTAAAAATTATTATTTTACAATACAAACAGCCAATTCCTCAATCCTCTAAACAACGAGACCATTTGAAATAAAAAATCCTGAATTGAATTTTATTTTGGAAACTAAGATTGATAACATCAGCATTTAAATTAACCTTTCAATTGTGGCAATTCGGGACAATATAGGATAACAATAGGATGTGGCAAGCTGGCATTATCTTGGGGGTTTGAAGAAGTAATTCATTAAGATGTAATTGTTTATGCTGTTATCAATAATTAATGATACATATTAAGTTAAAACCAATAATAGAAATAATTAGTTTAGGTCAGTCTTATCCAAATAATGGCTGTTTAATTTGACCGTTAGGCCCATATCCTAGCGACCTTTAATATTTACATTGACTGAGTAGAAATAAATGTATAACTTGAACATAAACAAGGTATGTTTTTGTATAAGTAAAATAAATATCAAATTTAACCATAAAGTGTGGATACCAGATGTGTCATAATGCGAACCAGTGAGTTGCAAATTTCAACATCAGCTTTCTACGTTTCAAAATACTACATAAAGTTCTCCTATTTTCACCTGGTTAGAAAAGAAAGCAAACATTTGCTGGCTGAAATTATAGTTTTATTTATTTATACACATCACACATGCAGTAAATAGATAACAAATACAGAAACAGAGGTACATAGGAACTAGTCTTAGTGAAGAGTAAGTACACAGAGCTCTATTATGATGGTTTATAACATCACACACAACAACCTTTTTGTGTTTGCCATGTGTACCATTAATCACCATGCTTTACAAACGGCATGGCCACCACACTAAGATTTTCTTCCATGTCGTGAATGTGTCATACATACATAAAATTGATCAAGGAAGTTGGGCTTGCAACACAATGCAGAAACGCTAGTTGCCCAACCACAGCAGCATTAATATTCGAGGTATGGTTTGGTAAGTATAGGAAAAGTTAAAGGAGTTTGTTAGAAACAGACCTTCAAGACAATGAATTTAAAGGTGTTCCGATATTTCAATCAATATACGTAATACTAGCTACTCTCCTGCGGTTTCACCCGCTGCTCAGCTCCATTTAATCGTAGCGTGATGTTTTATAGCCTATAGCACTCAGAAACCTTGTAGCTATCTATCAGTGAAAGAATTAGTAAGTATAGATTTTGCAGATTAAGTGTATGGTTAATTCCTATGGGATTGGTCGTATACACCTATTTCTATTAGTCGTATAAAAAGCCCTTTAATTTAATTTTAAACAACATTTCGTAAGGTTATCTAGATGAGAGAGCTAGCTAAATCACCGCAAAAATTAAAATGAACTTAATCATGACGTCAGACGATATTTCTCATCAATACATTGTCGAAAGTATCTATTTAAAAGTAGGCATAGTAAAAAAACACTCGTGTATTGTGGCTGGACAACTGACTGCTACCAGCTACGTAAAAAGTCGCAGGTTCAATTTCCACTCATAACGACATATGTGTGATCCACAGATTGTAATTCCATGTTTGGGTTTTTTTAAGAGGGGAAAATCATTAACTCTTGCAGTTAGAGGTCGACTTCTCTCGTCCAGGGTGAGGCGAGAAGGAGTAACAGACTTTAAAATCCCCCGTTTCTTCTCCTGCTCCAGGCCCAGGCCACAGTACCTTACTGCGCTTGCGCCGCAATTTTTGTAGACGTACAGGAAAAAATTTCCACTATCTACCTCAGCTATCTACATCAAATGGTTGGTTTGGTTATGGTTTCATCCATACCTAATCGTGTGCCTCGTTAATCGAGAGCATTGGACGCAAGTGCGACTAGCAACGGTCTCGTAGTTTGATTTCATAAAAAATTCTTAGTTTAGGTTTAACTACTAATCTAACAAATAATAATTGTGGGTGTGTAAGCAACCGACGCATGCCGCCCGTTGTCACAGAGCAACACATAAACCAGGGCGAGAAAAGCCATTTGATAAAAAGAATTATAATTACAAGTGCGTTGCCAAGGGAGGAAAATCTCACTCATCCGGTGAAACACGTCCATTTTTGCCATACAACTCATACAAGTTGAAAAACGTATGCTTGGAGCTGCAATAATGGCCCAAAAAAAGGACAGTTTACTAGGTAATTTTAGAAGCAGTGACCTAACTGAACTATGACCAGTTTTTTTATGTGTGGGGAATCATTAAATGGCCATTACGTCCAGGGCGGGAGGGAGTGCCAGACTCTTAATGACTGCAAATTGCCCCGTTCCTTCTCCTGCTCTAGGCCGAGGCCACGGTGCCTCATTGCGCTTGCCCCGCCGAGCCGGAGATCGTCTCTCGATCCCCGACGCTTGGAGTGTCGCCTACTGCACTAGCTAGAGCGTTAGAAAGAGGAAGATAGCTGCCTGACGCGGTTCGCCTCCTTCTTTGCGAGAATAACTACTTCACAGAAAGAGGAGACGGTTTCCCAGCTCCACTCACTACACACCAGGGTCTCGACTAAGGCCGGGTGCGAGAGGTCGCCGCTGCCGATCACTTCCCGGAGGACAAGGAGGTGCTCAGCTCAAGCAGGGCACACCGCCACCGAATGCTCCATCGTGTCCTCAGGGTGGTCCTCACATTGACGATACTCGGACGTTTCCTCCCGTCAGATCCGAAACAGTAACCTACCGAAGCTGCCGTGCCCGGTAAGCACCTGTGTCAGGTGGAAGGTGAGGACGCCGTGGCGTCTCTCAAGCCACTCCTCAAAGAGAAATTAGACCATAGGGGCTCTCGGCCGGCTTCAACACTGGTACATGTGAAACCAGTTTCCACGACAATGGAAGGTCGGAAAATTGAGATTTGATTGCTCAGGACCGGCAGTCCGAGTCCGGCTTTTTAGATTTTCTGTTAGTGTTACCATATAGGTAACATGTTTATGCCCAACAACTCTTAATAGTTAGGTAGGTAGGACCTATATTATTATATTTTTCTTTTCTCTTTCATTGGCAAGTCGCAAGAGGATGAAAATGGGACCAATTTGTTTGAAATAAAGTGATTCCTTTGTCTAATCTATTTGAAATTTTAATAAAATTAAATATTCTCTTCGAAAATTGATTAAAATTAGGTTTTATTTTATTACAATCCATTAAATACTTATCCGGGTTAAAAGTGCAGAAAGTTTTCTATTTGCTCGGGTTGAAATCAATATTCCTTTCAATTTAAATCGGTAGGTACTTTAAATATATTTTTTATTTTTTAAATGTTTGACTAATATTTCTTCGAAACTTTACAATGACGTAAATAAAGCATAAAGAATAAAGCATTTGGTTTGGGATTTAAAAAGTTTCAAAGTTGTTGATCTTTGTAAGAACTAAAATCAATAAAAAATATTAAACTAAAAATCAGTAGGTACTTACTAAGATACCTAATTCATAATAAATAAATCTAGGACGTTTTATCAATCTGGTAATTGTTTGAATAAGGTTATTGGTTTTTTGTACTACCTACCTACCCAATAAAGAAAATACTCTGAGGCTAAGAACTCACGGAGCGATTTTCGCCCGCGTCCGCCGCGGTTGCGGGCCCGCAGCTTCTGTAGAATTCAAAAATTTATATAAAAAATTAAAGCACATTTCACGACGCGTTTTACGCCCGCGGTGAACGCGGTTGTATGCGGCTCCCGCTGTACCGGCGGGCAACTAGTAGAATCGCGCGGGCCGCAGTTACCCGCAGCCTCGGCGGGTGGCACCCGCGCGCTTTGCGATCGGTTAGCGAGCGACCGCGGGGGCCGGCGGATCTTCTGTGAAGTAAATATAACGCAACGGCTCGATTCTAGTGTGCCTTGCAATCTTGCGATCATCGCCCGCCACGTTTGCGGGCGATGATCGCAACCGCGGCGGCTGTGTAACCGCGCAAATAACCGGTCTCGTGAGTTTGGAAATAAAACCGCAGTTCCACTACCGCGGCGGGCACGGTTCACAATCGCTCCGTGAGTTCTTAGCCTAAGGCTATGATCGCAAGATTGCAAGACGGGCGGTTAATGATCAGATGAGGTCCAGACCGCCATGGACACACACCAGAAACGAGCCGTTGCGTTATATTTACTTCACAGAAGACCCGCCGGCCCCCGCGGTCGCCCGCCAACCGATCGCAAAGCGAGCGGGTGCCACCCGCCGTGGCTGCGGGTAACCGCGGCCCGCGCGATTCTACTAGTTGCCCGCCGGTACAGCGGGAGCCGCATACAACCGCGTACACCGCGGGCGTAAAACGCGTCGTGAAATGTGCTTTAATTTTTTATATAAATATTTGAATTCTACAGAAGCTGCGGGCCCGCAATCGCAGCGGACGCGGGCGAAAATCGCTCCGTGAGTTCTTAGCCTAAGACTTCAAAAATATGTGG